GAACGAGGCCTATGGTCCCAGGGCTCCTCCGCGGAAAACCAGGGCCCCTCGAAGCGGCCGCCAGCGGCCGCCAGGAAAACCCCGGGCGCAACGATGAGGCAAGACGAGGCCGAGAGGACCCAAGAGCTCTTCCACGTCTCCCTACCTGGTTCACCGCCTTGAAACCACCGCAGGGGGGGGGGGCCGCATCGTAGGCCAGCAAGCTTCCAAAACAACTCCATCTTTCGAGGGTTGACTGCGAAACGCGCAATTCTGAGAGAGCCTGCTGGCCTTCTGTGAGGTATATGCGAGCCGTCGCCGTGTCTTGCCAACGCCCTCTCTCTAGAGTGGCAGGCATGTTACGAGTGCGACGGAAGAACGATGTGGCCCCCCCTCTTCTTAAACTGTATGGCTTGAGTTGAAACTGCTGGCAACCGATAGCAGCACACACTTGCTCAAATATACGCCTGAAATCACCAATTGAAGATGGCAATATCTGTTGGTCTGACGGAACATGTCGTAATCAATACGATATCAGCTGTGTCACCGAGGCATCCTCAATCACGACTGTCTCCTGTAGATGAAATCGCAGGCCACTTTTTGTGATTGGCAACGCTACAACGATTCTGGCGCGAGCCTCGTCGATGCCCACCTGCCAGCGCCGCAAGGTCAGCATCTCGGTGGTCCTCAGGAAGGCCGCGAAGCCGAAGACCAGCAGCGCCGCGACGTCGTTGCGGCCCCAGCCACGCGCGGTGGCAGCCAGCGCCGTCAACACGACGTCAGGCATCGGAAGCACGCGTTGCGGCAGCTCTAATCTCTGCCAAGCACGAAGTAGCCTCCACGACGCTGGCAGGATGCGCTTTTTGCGCAAGAAGAACTGAACGGCTGAAAGAGTGTTACCTGCCAAGCCTTGAGGATGCCCTTCAGTCCAGAGCCACTTGATCCAGTCGGCCACCAGAAGATCCAGTTGATCGATGTGGTCGGCACCTCCAGACCAAGAAAGCCCTCTCATGGCAACCCAATCTGAAAAACATCTCACTGCATTCTGATATACCTCCAGCGTCCGTGGCTGCACCAAATTGTGTGATAGGCGACCCACCACGGCCCGAGGTTGACGACGCGTAGCCTGATCCTGAGCTGCTCTGACTCTGTGTTGAACTCGACCTGGCATGAAGTCAACCAGAAGCCACAGCCGCCCCCCTCGACGGGTTGTCCGCGGGGTTGCGGTCAGTCTCCGTGTAGCCATACACAGGACGGGCAAGGGCAGCCAAGATCAAGGCACCAATGCGTCGAACGGTAACATGCAGCAACTGAGATGATGATCGGCCTCTGGTAATGACTCCGAGACCAGCTTGAGAATCCATCAGATGACAAAAGCGGGTGCGTAAATGTTGAGAGGATCTGAAGCGCCATCGCATGGCTCCCAGAGTGGCTCTCACCTCAAGGTCCGTGATGTGCGACGGGTGCTTCCAGTCCCAGATGGCGGTGGCCTTCCACGACCAGCGCGCCACACTGACTGGTCGCCTGGGCCACAGATCAGGCCGCATCGCCTCGAACGTGTCAAGCCTGATATCGCTGCCTCTGGCCTCTGCACGGCGGGCCAGCTCCTCCACGATGATGATGCTGGGGTCCAGCGCGGCATCCTCGCTCTCGAGATCGTGCTGGCGCACCAAGACACCGTCGTCGCAATCTATCTGGTCCATGCTGACTGTGGCATCGGCGACGGTGGCGCCACCTCCAGTCTCACGCATCTGCCTGGCGGAGGGGATCTCAGTCAGGTAGCCTGCTCTCTGAGCCCAGTGGGCCAGCACCCAAGCGACAACCACACATTGAAAGCTGTTCCCAAGCAGAGCGCACCGGCAACATTCCAGATCAGCTTTCTCGAGCTTGCGCGCTCTAGTCACCCGTGCCGTGATCGTGTGCCCTGGAAGGAAGTCGAGCAGCAGCTCTCTCTCGACACTCGAGGGGGGCCTTCGGCTGCCGTCAGGCTCCTCGATGCAGTTGACGTCCTGGAACTGGTAGGGCGCGTAGCAGTAGTTGAATCTGCGCCAACGCTCGAGTTCGTGACTGCACATTTGTCGAGACCTGACGGGAATTGACCTGGAGCACGACGAGGAACACAGCGCAGAAAGGTGGGCAGGCGGAAGTCCTTCTGGATGTCACCCTGCCACTGAAGCCCAGCGGCCAGCCAGCGTTCAACTGGACCAGGCCCGTCAGGGATCACGACGTGCTTTACCGAGTCCATGACATACGTCTCGCCCTGCCACGGCGTCAACAGCTCCTCCTTGATCCAATGCAAACGGTCACGCTGGCAGTGTGTGACATCACCCGCTGAGATGCACACAGGTTCGCATCCCAGGGAATGTGACATCAACTGTCGCGGTTCCGAGTCCATTGGGGCCACGTTCTCAACCAGGGGCAACACCGTGCAGAAATCACCCAGCGCCTCGCGCAGCAGAGACACAATGCGGTTTATCTCGTAGAATAGACGTGAGCGTCTCCCTTGAAGACCAGTACGCTCAACATTGATGCGGGCCAGGTCGCTGCAAGGGCTACCGGCCACCACTAATATCCACTTCATATGCGGAACTCGTTCACGGATGGCCACCGCCTCGGCGAACCCAAAGGAGCAGACGTCGCCGACTTCCAGCACGTCCGGCCACGCATACTTGGTCACTCGCTTCGCCTCGGCGTCGATCTCGGCGGACACGAACAGCGCGGGAGTGAGCCCCATCAGGTCCAGGGCGCGGCGAGCCCCACCAATGCCGTCGAACAAGGACAGGAGCACCACCTCGTCGCGGAAGTCAGTCACCAGCCTTCGGCTGGCCGCTCTCGCAGCGGCCACTCCATCAGGCCGAATGCGAACAGCTCGACACACGGCTCCACGCTGCATGCTGGCATCCGAGACCGTCACCAGCCCGCTGATCGGCACGCGTAGGTCACAGCGAAGCAAAGGGAGCAACGTTAAGGCCGACAACAGCTCCTCGCGTACCTTACGTGGCACCTTCGCATCACCACGCAACTTCACCAATAATCGCCACAAGTGAGTGAAGCACATCATCGCCTCGCGCCTGAACAAGAGGCACCGAACCAGCGGCCCGCCAGGATCTGCATCCACTTCTGAGTCACTGTGGGCCTTTGCAGAGTCGCCAGGGTGAGGGAGATCAGCCGTCGCACGAACTCTGCGGGCGGCCCGATGGTGCCACGATCCCCATCGATCGCCTCCCCGAGGGACTGCGTCGTGGTCTCGCGGATGACGGCCTTGTTCTCGCTTCTTGGCACGTTGAAGTGCTCATACCTCCGACGGGCCATGTCGACCGCCTCGCTGATCCCCTCCTCCTGCAGGGACTTGGCGTGCCACCAGCCGGTGATTTCCACAAACATCTCAAAAATCCAAAAAAAATTTTCCAATCCAGTCCAAAAAAGATAACCAAAAAAACAAAAAATAATGACTAAATAATCCAAGATATTCAATAGTCCCACAAAAATAAAAAAAAAAAACATCAAAATCCAAAAAAAACATAACAAATTTACAAATTCCAAAAATATCAAAAAAAAACACAAAGCCAAAAAAAAAAAAAACAAAAGACATAAAAAAAAAAAAAAAAAAACCAAAAAGACAAAATCCAATTCCAACGACACAAAAAACCATAACAAAAAAAACCAAAACAAAAACCAAAAAACCAAATAAGTAAAAAAAAATCCAAAACCAAAAACAAAATTCCAATACACAAAAGAAATAACCCCCAGCGCATCCAAGTTGTCGATGTACACCTGCCAGGCCCTCCAGAGGGCTGGCGTGTTGAAGCGCTCCAACCACTTCGCGATCAGAACATCGCCGTGGCAGGCCTGGTGCTCCTTGCAGTGGCAAAGCAGCCGAGCACCACTCAGAGAGGATAAGTCGGCCAGAAGGTCGGGCGACTTCTCCAAGTGTCTGCGAACAGCTCGATGACCTGCCTCCTGTCCAGACCATCCCGAATGCGGAACGGGTTGCCCCACTTCGATGGGGCAAGCTGCAGTGAGCTGGAGCCGCGCCCGATGTAGATCATCCGCTTGTCGTCATCATAAGTGCGGCCGACCTCGCCGCGGACGGGAGCCACTCCTGAGTTGTGAAAGCCACCTCGGCGAGCAGGAGGAATAGGAGCGTCCTTGCGCAGCTCCTCCGACGCTGAGAGTTGACGTAGCTCAGGATGTCGGGCTCGAAGAAGACGACGGTGAATGTGCTGAATCACCCCTGTGGCCGATATCCATCCCATGGGCACGACGGCGGCGGCTAGGTATATCATGCCCTTGCCTGGAAGCCCAGCGGCGCACCTCCTCGCGGGCTTTGAGATGGCCATGTATTTCAGCCACACATCGCTGAGGCTGTATACGTAGAAGTAGCACTTCAGATCCTCCGCGCTCCAGAGCATCACCTCCCCAGACCTGAGGATCACGCTCTTCCACTTATCGCTGTGGGGCAGCATCGGCATGTCGCCCTCGATAGTGTTCTGGATGAAATTGGAGGGGATGATGTTCATCACCAGCCGTTGGGGCCCCTCGCCCTTCAAGTGGGATCCCTTCTTCACGCCGAACATGCCCCCCATCACCTTGCGCCCTTGAACTTCCACGATGTCCTCGTACCCGATCGTCTTGATAATCCCCCTCTCGAGTAGGTCGCCAGCGATAAGCTCCCATTCCTCGTTCGAGGCCCAGACCTTCGGAGTGGGGGGCAAGCTGCCAAGCCCCGACTCGTCCTTCAGGATCAGACCTGGATCGGAGAGGGCAGCTCTGATCCAGCCCTCTGTCACATCGACGGCCCTCACGGCAGCGCACGCCTCTCGAGGAGGCAGGGCTTCGAGTAAACGATCACGGTCCAGGGGCTCGGCAGGGAACACCTCCTCGCCGTCGTAGGAAGTGGCGGCGGAAGAAAGGTCGGTGTCCCAATCGATGTCAGGGATCAGGCCAGCGCACTGCTCACGAAAGACTCTGACCTCATAGAGAAGATTATTGAAGGCCTTGCGCTGAGTGGCGCTTGGAGGGCCGTGAGGCGCATGGACCCAACTGCGAGCGCAGTGAAAGTTGAGACCTGACACGATGCAATGCAGCCAATCTAACTCCTCAGACTTCGCAGCTGCCAGCTCTTGACTGTCCTCACGAATGTCTCCGCGACGTTGAGGAGCAGCCAAACCATGAAACACGATCGGGAGCGGGAGGAGATCACGACGCTCTCGCCGACCGTTCGGTGATGGAAGCGGATCTCCATAAACTGCATCATATTCGGAAATCAGCGAAGCCGTCGAGGGAGTGCGTAAAGAAGCCGGGTGCGAGACATCATCGTACTCAGGAGTAACGTCAGCTTTACCAAATGACTGATTGACCGAAGTACCAGTGGATGTACGTAAAGAAGCCAAGTGTGAAGAGTCGCCAGTCTCGCCGTGAGCTGCCCCAGAGGCAGACCCAGCACCACCAGTAGCGGCAGCCAAGGTAGGCGAAGGCGACCTCGAACGATGTAATGCGGACTTACGTTTAGTGCCAGGGTGCAGCGCAGGAAGTAGCCGAGACAACAGAATGGTGCCGAAGTCCTCAACGGATGAACCAGGCAGCGCACAAGACAAGGAAAATGAATTCTCGGAGACACTCTTTGTGTCACAATCGACAGTGTGCTCCGCGTCATGCAAAGAGTCAAAACTAGATGACCTCTGGGATGAGATCTCCGACTCCTGATCATCGAGTGGAATGTCATTCTTCTCAGACTCAGACGGAACAACCATCATGTCTGTGGGAGCTAGGCGCGCTGCTTGCCTTTGCTCTTGCCCTTCGGCTTGCCCTTGGAGCCGGGGCCCTGCCACGTGCCCGACTTGTTGCCGCCCTTGCCCTTCTTGAACTTCGGCTTGCCCGAGCTCGTGGTCTTCGCCTTCTCGCCCTTGCGCTGAGGTGAAGGTGGACCTGGGCGGCTCCTCGGCGCGGGTGACTGCTGCAGTCCGCCTTGCTCGACCTGATCGGCGAAATGCACGCGCCTCGCTGGTGACGCTGGCCGCGTCTCCCTTCCAGCAGGTGGGCGCAGGATCGGTCGGCGATCGGGGCCAGGGCTGACGGCGCCGCGCGCGGCGGCGGCTGGTGACCCTGGGGCGCCAGGCGCAGGAGGATGCGGGGCTGCGGGGCTGGCCGACTGCTGCGCCTGCTCTCCTCCGCGAGCTGCTGGTGCTGCAGCCTGCTTCTTCGCGGCGGCAGCCTGCCTCCGCTCCTTCCTCCATCGCGTCTTTCGCGATGCCTTCACGCGCTCCACCATGCTGCCGGGCTTGCTGGCAGTCGGGCTTGAAGAGAGGAGGATGCCAGGGGTTGGAGATGGCCTCCGAGAGGGCGGCGCCCGAGGCTGTCCGCTGCCCTCTCGGCCTGACCCCTATCCTGCGCCACCTCCCTTCTTGGCCTTCGCCACGCTCTCGGCCAGGCCAAACGTCCTCTTGTGCTTGCTCACGGCGTCGTGCACCTCCTCCTGGCGAGCTAATCCCACGCCCAGGTCGTCGCGCAGCTCGAGATGCTGGGCTACCTGCCAGTGGCCGTCCTTGGTTGCCTGCTCGATCGCCTTCAGCCTCTGCATCAAGAGGTCGCCCAGGTGATCCAACTCTCCTCTGAGCAGTGCGTCGAGACACTCGCCGACGGTCCGCATCTCGCGCACATTTCTCACCCCCATCTCGCTCTGCGGGTGGTGACCGTGCCAGACGCTCGTGATGTACGCACCACGGTCGCTGCCAGTTCGTCCAGGCCCTTCTCGGTGTCCGCCCCACCACGCCGTGCCAGATAGCGCTTGATCTGATCCATTCCGCTCGACAGGAGAGCTCCTGGAGCGGCCTGGGCAAGATGAGCTATCCTGCGGCCTGGGTCGACGTGGGGGGCGCCATCAAAAACTGAACCCTCGGAGCTGCTGTCATCACCAGTGCGTCGTCCCCGCCTCCTCTCGCGACGACCCACTCGACGACCGCCAAGAGCCAGCTCAGCGCGCTCAGCGAGGGCCTCACCTATCCCACGCTTGCGATGCAAGCGTAGGCGCAACTCAGTTACCTTCCTCTTCAGCTCCTCGGGGGTGGGCTCCGCGCCAGCCACGGCAGCTCCAGCGGTAGCTCCAGGCGAGCTAGCACCTCCGACGGGTCCGCCAGGGATGCCAGCGGCTGAGTGCCCCCCAGCGGCTCCGCGACTGGCCAGCAGCGCCTGAGCCCACGGCTCAGTCACTCCCGTGGCGCTCCGCATGCGGTAGGTGACCACGTGCAACACCGAGCGCTGAGGCCACTGCACCAGCCCTGAGCATACGCTGGCCTGCTGGGTACACAGATGCAGCACCGCGCCACCAAGGTGATTGAAGCTCCCCGACAACATCGGCCACAAGGCGGCATTACTGCACCCCAGGAAGGACGCCTCCACGAAGACACCCATGCCATCGCCAGGCCACACGCTCTGGATGTTGAACAGCGCCGTGCCGACTGCGCTGCCGAAACTGTCCAGGGTCACGCACTCCAGCAATCCTCCCGGTGACAGCCCGAGCCGCTGGTAAGCCATCGGTGATGATGGGCCGTGCACCCAGGGTCCTGCTCCTCCTTGTGGTGCCGCTAGGTCGAAACCACAGCCTCCTGGAGCCCCGACTCCACCACCAGCAGCAGGCACCCAGCCCAGCAGGCCACCAGCACCCGGGGCTGCTCCTGCACCTGCGGGTACGCCTCCAGCTGCACCGCCGAGAACGCCGCCAGCAGCCGGGGCCCAAGCACCAGCGCCGCCGTGGCCTCCGACTCCGAGAGCACCCCCTCTCAGTCCAGGGACAGCTCCAGCGGGAGGCCCTGCTACGCCTCCAGCTCCACCGATCACAGCGGCCGCGCCACCCGCTAGAGGGGTAGGCACGAGCCCGCCCAGCGGGCCTCCTCCACCGGCAGCGCCAGCCATCCCAGGCGGACCTCCGCCTCCAGCCGCCACAACGCCTGCGGCCGCTCCGACTCCCGCGGGCAGTCCACCGCAGCCACCTGCCAGTGCTCCAGGAACACCTCCAGCCCGCACGTCCGCGCCAGCGGCTCCTCCACCTGGTGGGCCATCTGCGACGGGAGCTGCCGCGGCTCCTCCGACGGCACCGTCCGCTGCAGCTGCGGCGGCTGCACCACGACCACCTCCGCGGGGCCGAGCCGCGACGCCTCCGCGACCTCGAGCGCCTGCAGCAGCCGCGGCCGCACGCGCTCGCCTGCCGCCCGCAGCCCCGCGTGCAGCAGCCGCGCGTCCTCCACGGGCTCCTGCAGCGCCTCGCCCGTCTCCGCGACCGCCGCGACCGCGGTTGCCTCCGCGGCCTCCTGGGGGCGCGGGCAGCGCGGCAGCTGCGCCCGCGGGCAGCGCAGCGAAGCCGCCAGCGGCGCCGCTCGCGGCGGCCGCCGCCATCACCATGGCCGAGCCGCCGCGCCCGCGGCAGGCGGCGCGCCTGCACCTGAGGTCTCCCCCTGACCTCAAGCTTTCAAGGCAAAAAGCCTGCGGCGAGGCGGCATCGCGGCGCATGCGCAGGAGAGAGGGGCCCCATAGGAGAAACAATCAACATGTTCTAACATGGGTTTCTATATATATATATATATATATATATAGATGTATGTATACATATACATACATATCTGTATATATACACATATATATACATATATATGTATTCACACACGCATACGTATAAACACCTAACGGGTTTCGCGCGCGCGTCGACATCGATCGAACGCCCTTGCGCGCGTGCCGTCGCGCGAACCCTTTGCAGCATAACGGGGCGAAGTACACGCGCGTGCGTCGTCGTGCGCGCGTGCGGGAATCCTTCAAAAGCCTTCGGGTGCGTAACGATTTCAAAACCGAATATAAAAGCAACAATCAAAAACGCATGGTTGCGCAACATCAGTTTTCCAACATTTTCGTGCTGGCGCCGCATTCCGAAATTGCCCGCGCGCCTTTCCCCGCGCGTTGGGGGGGGCCGCGATCCGCGTCGAAAAAAAAACGGCGCGGGCCAGGCCACTCTCGCGCGTCGGCCGCGCTCGCGTCGAATTCCTTCCACGACCTTCATCGCCAACGCGAGGGCGCCGTCATCGTCGTCGGCGTGATCAGCATCGGCGCCCGCGCTGGCCGCGCCGTCGTCGTCGTCGACATCGTCGCTACTATCGTCATCGCGTGTGCCGTGGTCGACGTGGCCATGATGCCGCGCCCGCCCGAGTCGCCGACTCGCGCTGCGGTGCCCGCTGCGATGTGCCTAGCGGCCAGCGCCGCCGCGGCCGCGTCGGCCGCGCTAGACTAGCTGGCCACTGCGCGCGTGCCAGGGTTGGCGCGGCCGCGGAGATGCGCCGGCCAACGCCAATCATGCATCACAATCGCCGCCGCGTGGGTTTTGCAAACCAAATTGCGCCGACCCGTAGATAGAAATTCGCCGGCCCAACGGGCCGGAGGCGTGCTGAGATCTCTGGTAACTACTTAAACAATATTTCGAGTTCGCGCGCGCGGGGGGGGCCCTGGGGGGCCGCGGGCGAAAAGTACCCCGGCCGTTCCCCAGCTGACCCCCAGGCGATCCCCAGGGGGGGGGCTATTCTTCGAGGGTCGCGGCCTCCGACGGGGGGGCCGCAATCGACTGCCCCCCCGCCCGCCCCAAGGGGCCCCCAAGAGCCCCCCAGCAGGCCTCTGGGGAGCCCAGTGCGCCGCCAGGGAGCCCCAAGACGCTCCCAAGAAGCACCCAAGAAGCCCCCAAGACAGCCCCCAGAGGCCCCAAATAGCGTTCCCGGGCCGGCGAAATGAGCGAAGCGATTAAATAAATTGCGTCGCGTAGATTCTCCTATCTAGAAAAGAAATAGGTTCTACCCCCCTGGACTTATCAACTCCCCGGGAACCTATGCAAAACGTATGCGATTCTGACCGAATGTCCATCCTACCTGTGAATTCATAAATATCCCAGCCAGACCGGTATCGCCCCCCCCCGCCATCCCCTGCAACAGAAAATTATGCGTGCACGCTCGTGTATCACAAATCATAAGTTTTCAAGAATCCCTGGCCACAAGAAAACGAAGTGCGCGCGCGTCGTCGCGAGCGCATGCCAAAATCCATCAAACACTTTCGGGTTCGGAAAGACTTCCAAATCGAACGCCATATGTTTACGCACATATATTACATATATATATATTATAATATATATATATATATAATATATAATATATATATATATGGGTATGTATATATGTATATATATATATATATGTGTACATATATGTATATATGCGTGTATATATATAAAGCACAGAGTTTCGTGACGCGGATTTTCAACAAAAGCGTGCGCGCGCGCTCTTGCGATTCATCTTACGAAATGAAAATTTTCAAAATTCATAACGTGCTACAAAACGGGTTTCGCGCGCGCATGTCGAAATCGTTCGAGCGCCCTGGCGCGCGTGCAGGGGTGGCGCGATCCGTGCCAAATAATGTCATGCGAGCCGCTCTCGCGCGATTGCCGCGCGCGCGTGTCGAATTCCTTTCAATGCCTTCATCGCCGACGCGAAGGCGCCGTGATCGTCGTCGGCGTGATCGGCATCGGCGCCGTCGCTTGCTGCCCCGTCGTCGCTGTCAGACCGTCGCCAGCATCGCTGCTATCATCGTTGCCGACGTTGCCATGATACCGCGCCCGCCCATGTCGCCGACTCGCATTGAAATGCCCGCTGGGATGTGTCAAGCGGTCAGCGCCAACCGCGTTCGCGTCGGTCGCGTCAAACTAGCTGGCCGCAGCGCGCGCGAGCGCGCGCGGGCTAGCGCGACCGCAGAGACGCGCCAGCCAACGCCCGGCACTCCAAGTTGCGGTTGGGCGGACGGGATGATTGCGCGAGCAGTGGGTTGACAACTTCAGGTTCGGCAAGTGAACTGCATTGCAGAGGCTGCGCCGCGTGGGCTCTCCCTTCTGAACAGAGAATGACCGCCCCCGGATTATCGGCGCCCCTCTTCGTATTGCAGTCTGCGTATGATTCTGCCATCGTCCATCCTGGGTATGAATTCATTCCACCCCGGCCAGGCTGGCACCCGCCCCCCCCCCCCCGCCACCCTCTGCAACGAATATTTTGCGCGCGCTCGTGTATTGCAAATCGGCGGTTTCCAAAAACCTTTTTGCAAACAATGAAACGAAGTGCGCTCGCGCGCGTCGTCGCGCGCGCGCCGAAATCCTCGAGCGGCCCTCGGTTTCGAGAAGATTTCAACAGAGGGGCCAACAAATATAAACGCACGCGGTTTCGCAGCGCTCATTTTTTACAACAAAAACGAAAAGAAAAAACGGGCGCGCGCGCGCTCTTGCAAATCCTGAAGAAAACACTGCGTTGTCTTTTCAAACATGATCGACCCACGAACCCGGAAAGGAATATAGAACTGTAACACATGGCAGCGTTTTCAAAGACACCTGATTGGGTGACGGGCAAATGCAATGCTGAGTGTATCGGTCTTGATGTACCCTGCCGAGGGCTGTGCTGTGCTGCGCCGTGCTGAATTGCGATGTGCCATGGCGCGACTGCGCTCTATAGCGTCGTGGATCGAGTCCTCCTTTGCATCCGAGTCCTGACCGAACTGATCTGGATCTTAAACTCGAGCTGCCTGAACACATAGTAGCTGCCCCAGAGCTAATGGACAGGGGAACATGCCAGGAAGACGCGCCGCGAAACGTCCCAAGGGATGCGCCAAGCGACGTGCCGGGGGACGCGCCATGGGGTCGCACCGTAGGACGTGCCAAGGGGACGCGCTACGGAACGTGCCAATGGATGTGCCACGGAATGTGCCAGGGGACGCGCCACGCGACGTGCCAGGGGGACTCGCCAAGGGACGCCCCGCGGAACGTGCCGAGGAACGTGCCAAGTTGCAATGCTGATGTATCGATCTTGATGTACCCTGCCGAGGGCTGTGCTGTGCTGGGCCGTGCTGAACTGCGATGTGCCATGCCGCGGTTGTGCTCTATAGCGTCGTGGATCGAGTCTTCCTTTGCATCCGAGTCCTGACCGAACTGATCTGGATCAGAAGCTCGAGTTGCCTGAACACATAGTAGCTGCCCCAGAGCTCATTGACAGGGGAACATGCCAGGAGGACGCGCCGCGAAACGTCCCAAGGGATGCGCCGGGCGACGTGCCAGGGGACGTGCCATGGGGTCGCAACGCGGGACGTGCCGAGGGGACGCGCTACTGAACGTGCTGGGGACAAGCGTTTCGCTCGAGACATCCTATCACAATCATCCGAATTCCTGCGCGCGGGACGCGGCACGCGCGAGACATCCTCGGAATTCCTGCGAGCGGGACACGAAAACAAGCATTGCGCCTGAGATATCCTCTGAATTCTGGCCCCCCACGAGGCCCCCGCTCGAGACATCCCCCAATTTTGCAAAACCAGCGTTTCGCTCGAGACATCCTCAACAAATTATGAAAAACAAGCGTTTCGCTTGAGAAATCCTGTCAAAACCCAAAGAAATCAAAAGTCCTGCGTGCGGGACGCGGCACGCGCGAGACATCCTCGGAATTCCTGCGCGATGAAACCACACA